TATTGAATAGCAAAGAATTTAGCAGGGGACAAAAACAACCCCTGTTCCTTCAGAGAGACACACGAAACAAATATACAAATAAATATGTAATAAAATATCAGTTTGTGATAAGTGTTAAGAAAAATTAAAGAGGCCAGAGTAATTTTAAATGAACATTGAGAAATTAACTTTTTTTCTGTTTGAAACATGTAAATGCTTTGGCTTGTCCTTTAAAATTTGCTCTTTTTTTACAAATAGAAAAGCACTTTAATCAGTTCTTTTTGCCTTGGAGAAATGCAAATGTAAACAAACAAAATCAGTGATGTTGTCGTTATCTTTTGTGCCAGAGGAGCTTGGACCTCTTGCTTTGTTACAAGGGTGGATTACGAATCCATACAGGTATTTCCTCAACCGAAAGAATTCCAGTGAACATTTGTGGACTGCAGAAGGCATGAGATTTATCTGTCTTGTGCTGAAGGTTAAGATTAAAGGAGAGATAGATGACCAAAGTGAAGATGCCCGCCCGGCTTTTCCATCGTCTTTACACGCTGCCCCTTTCTGTGGGCAGCACCACATTAAGGCAGTGAGAGCCACTGACTGATACGTTGTTGTCTTTGCCCCCGCTCAGCCTGCCAGTGGTTCAGCACCTCGCAGAGTCTGTGATCCATGGAGATAACTCATCTACTCTTCTTTTTTTCTCATTGAGTTTATTGGTGCATTTTAGGTATACAGTAGTGTTTGTAAAAGGGGAGGGGAGGAGGGGTGAAGGGAGGGGAGGGACAAGGGGAAAAAATGACAACCAAGACCTGTCATGTAAAGGTACAAGATCCCAGTAATGAATGTCACTGTACTGTATACCTAAAATTTGCTTTTGACTATTCTGTTGTTGGTGAACAATTTTGAAAGAGATTAAAAATCTCTTAATCTAAAAATTTATCTCCAACTAGTAAATTTAGCATTTATACATTTACAACATGTTTAGAGGAATAAAATATTTGGTTAATCACTACTTTACAGTAAAGTCTGCAGCTCATGAAATCTGCAATTCTCCAGTGGTTTCCAGCCCCTGGGGAGCCTGTTGATATAGCACCGACTTACAGATTATTACTCAGCTGTAGAAGTTTTATGCGTAGGCACTTTTTTACATCTTCCTCTCTCAGTCGAAGTCTTGTATTTATGCCAAGTAAAACAAATCTCATACTAATAAAAAGCTATAAATAAACAGTAGGAGCAAGAGTCATAGCTAGCATCACCCACATTCTGTGTGTATACCTCTCTCTGACACTCCCCAGTATGTTCACTTTGCATAAACATGTAGTACTGCATGACTACTGTTCTACAGACAAACTCAAGTTATTTAAGTAAGTTATTTTTCAGAACTAAGTAATAATACTGTAACTAGTAGAATTCTGGTATACTACTAGAGCAAAAATGTGAAAATGCATGCTGTTGATGAGGGAGGGAAGAATTTCTTACTTTTCCCATAGAAAGCCCCAGAAAGTTCAGTCCTAAAGACTGCTGTTAGATCTCCAAAATGGAGTTTTTATATGATGTAGCATAATCTAGCAGTTTTTCAGGGAAATAATGAAGAAGCTAGGTATGGTACTATAAACTTATAAGCATTCTGGAAGGCTGACACAGGAGGATTGTGAATTGAAGCCCAACCTGGGTAACTTAGTGAGACCCTCTCTCAAAATGAAAAAAGGGATGGGGTTGCAGCTCAGTACAAAGGTTCTGGGTTCAATCCACACCACAAAACAAAACAACAAACCAACAAACAAAAAAACATTGCTTGAAAGCCCCATTCTTCTGCTAGTGGAGTACTGCTGATAAAATTTTATCCTATTTTACTCTATTGCTTATTCATTTAGTAAATTTTCATTTAACATTTCCTCTTACCAGACACCGTGCCACCATAAATATGTAAGTACAGTGCCCTGATTGTGTAAGTGAAGCTGTGCTGCCATAAATGTATTAAAACAAATAAGGTACAATCCTTGTTCTCAAGGAATTTATAATAGCAAAGAAAAGTGAATTTGTAAATTCAAAAGTATAATTCTTTGATAGGAACTATAAAAAAGATATAATGGAGAATATCCTGAGATTACACATAAAACTACTGTTTATGAAGCATTTACTGTCTTAGCTGTTTTATATAAATTATTTCACTTAGTCCTTTCAACAGCTTTATGAGGTACTTGTGCTAGGAACATTAACTAACTTCCTTGGGGAAGAGGAGGTTTATCAGGGAAGGTTTCTGAACTTAATGAGGTAAAGAGTTTCTTCAAGAAAGTCTGCTGGAACAATGGGTGGTCCACACACACACACACACACACATACACACACACACACACACACATCTAGACACAAGCCAAGCCATAACAATAAAAAAATTGTTTCTTGGTTAGTTTGTATGTAACTCAGAGTTCTCTAAAAGGTGAAGGGAGATTTTGGAAAGCTGATACAGAGACCTTCTGCAGTAGCAGTTAATATGTATTAGCAATTAACTGTTCAAGACGCTGCAGCACATTGTTATGTGTATTAACTAAACTGTTCTCAACACAATTTTATGACGTAGCCATTTTTATAATGCTTATCTTATAGATGAGGAAAATGAGCAAAGAGACATTAAACAATTTAGCCAGGGTCACTCAACTACTAAATTAGCAAAGTCAGGATTTCAATTTGGCAGGCTAACTCCATTGCCTTACCCAGAGATATATTTCCACTCTTTGTCATTTAAAGGTGTTCATGCACATATTAGATTTGAGCCCTAGAGAATTCAAGTGACAAACTGCAATTGACAAAAAGAGCCTACAGCAATCACTTCTACATGTTTTGTTTCTTTGCCCTTACTTGCAGCAGTGTAGGAGAAAGAATGAAGGAAGGGAAGCACTATATTTGTCAACCCTAGAAATTGGCTCTGCAGGGTTCTGAGTAATTACATGGTAAAACTAAGCATTTTATGGTACCAGAGGGTATTCCTAAGTGGCATATGAGTCCATTGAGTTAGGTAACTTAAGATCCAATACAACCCAGAGATGAAGAATTCTGTATATACAGTGGATCCTTGATTTCCAATCTTGATTAGTTCCTGGGAAGCTGGTTGCAACTAAGTCAGTACAACTGAGATCTGGATGTTTACCTGGGTACATGCTATAGATTAGAAGAGGCAGATGAATATATACCTAAGTAAGCCAAGTTGTTTGTATGTTGGCTGGTCATAATGTGAGAGTCCACTGTATAAGGGAATAAATAATCACCATCTACTAGACCCCTAAGATTATCTAGATTAAACCCATTGATTATATTTTCCCTAACGTTAATACAGAGAAATTAGCTAAAAAAATGTATTTTGAAGGGTTAAATCTCAGTTTACATTATATCCAATAGTTAACACAATAGCTTTATAACAGTTCTGTAAATGGAATTCACACATGCTTCTTCACAGGGCATGATTTCAGAAGTGAAGATCTGTAAAGGACAAATCAATCCATACATCTGTAAACAGCATGGTTCCGACTGCATGAAATTTCATACTGTCTCACTATATCTATGCTGCACATACCATACCACTTATGTGTTAGTCACTTAGTAGCTGTCTGGATTACTAGATCAACCATCTCTGTGTCACAAAATTGTGTTCCTGTATCCCTGAGCAGTGTCTTAGCTGTACATCACAAGGCCTGTGTCATTCACTTCCCTTCATCTATATCAATACAAGTGCTAGTTCATGTGAAGTTATGGTTAGCCAAAAATCTCACTAATTCCAGGTCATTAGACATATATTGAGCACTAATTCATGCCAGGCATTACAATGACATACTTTGGAAACATTAAGACTTTTTTTTTTTTTTTTTTTGGCCTTGAAGGAGTTTAGTCTGAGGTGACAACTGTATACAAAATGAACAACACTAGCATCTTCAGAATAACCTTTTTGAATTAACTTTAATTTAGTAGAAAAGTCATGGACTTTATTTGTGGTATTGTGTAGACCACAAGAAAAGTATTTCAGGAAAAGAAAAAGGAATATAAGTAAGCAGTCTGAAATTTGACATTACAGAAGTTGTCTTTATAATTCCACAAAACTTTAGGGAAAAAAGGTTTTAAAAAACTTTTTATTTTGAAGTACTTGTAGTTTCCAGTTTAAAGAAAAACTGTAAGAATAATATTAACCTATACATTCTTTATTCAGACTAGAGTTTTAGCATTTGCCATCAGTCTTTCTTTACACATGGACAAACATACACACAATTGTTCTGTACCATGTGAGAGCAGACTAATATCATCTTTTTATTTAATACAGCAGTGTTTATCACCTAAAAACAAAGATATTATAGTGCAAAGAACTACAGTGCAGTTATCAAATTCAGGAAACATGATCTTGATACGTTAATCTATCACCTGATTCAAATTTCGTTAATTATCCCCAAAAAGTGAGTTTTTGTTGTTTGAGGCTGGAGATTAAACCCAGGGCCTCGCTCATCTACTTTTACACTGCACTACACTTCCAACCCAAAAAAGATGAGTTTAAAGAAGAACAATATAATAATTTTTGTAATTTAAGCTAAAAATTGTAAGCCATAGAAGAAAACCTTGGAAGTTTGTTATTGATTTAAATACCACTTCCGAGTTAAGGAGAAAGCATGGATAAACCCAGATTACCTACAAAGATGGGACTTAGGTCTCCCCAGAAGTGAGCCTTGTTACTGGACAGCCCATTTGGTAAAGTACATTTTCCAAGAGATTGTGTATGCTGAGTGCAGGGATTATGAATTTCTTTAAGCTCCCGTGAAAGTAGAGCAATTTATCTAGGCCTAAGGGCATTCTTTGGAAATGCCCTTTGTGTTCCGGCTTTCCCCCAAGTAGGGAAATGGGTAGGGGAGTGCTGACTCTGGAAAACAGATCCTGTGGGGGTCTCACTGACTCGTGGTTCCACAGTGACTTGGTCAGCAAGGACACCCTACAGCCTACCCAAGGTCCCCGCAAGGGCGTGGTCGGCAGAGGCAGCTGGGACTCCGCCTCCAAACGTCACTTCCGGTGGGTCTGTTGGGAGTTGGCGGTGGTAGTCAAGGCCTAAATCCGGCCTGCCAAAGGAGAGCCCCAGCTGGTTCCTGCCCCAACCTCAACGCCTTTGGAAGTCATGGCTTCCCCTCTGAAGCTACAGCAGGATATGCAAGGCAAGGTAGACTCGTTTCGGGCCCGTATTGCCCAGGAGGCCGAGGAGCTGGTATCAACCTTCTTCCCTCAGAAGCTGTCGGAGCTGGATAGCCAGGTCCAGGAGCTCTGGCTGCAGGATTTGTCCCGAATCCGTTCAGTGCCGGCTCCAGAGCCCCTGGCCACCCCAGACACGGCAGGAGATGGGCCCAATCGGGATTTGCCACCTCTCCAGACCCAGGCCCCGCGCAAAGTACCTGCACTGCCTAGCCGAGAGGGATGCCTGTTGCGGAGCAACCAGCATCTGGTGGAGTTGATTGAGCGGGTTAAGCCTGAGATTGAGCTGCTGAGAGAGAAGTGCAACACAGTGCGGATGTGGGTGCAGCTGCTCATTCCGAAAGTGGAGGACGGCAATAACTTTGGAGTGTCTATCCAGGAGGACACCGTGGACCAGCTATGGACCGTGGAGAGCACTGCGACCTCCTATCTACGCCGCTTCTCCACCTACTATAATACCCGGGCCAAGTTGGTGTCCAAGATAGTGAAGTACCCGCAGGTGGAAGATTATCTCCGCACCATAGCAGAGGTCGACGAAAATGAGTATCTGAGTGTGCGCCAGATCTTGCTGCACGTCCGGAACCAGTATGCTACCTTGCATGATGTAATCCTCAAGAACATTGACAAGATCAAGACCCCTCGAAGCACCAACACCGACAACCTATACTGAGGACCTTCCACTGCACTTTTCTGTAGGAGTAGGCTGAGCTGTGTAAACAGCTAGCAGGCTGGTTATTAATGACTGCAGGCGGTGCAAGGATTGGAAAATGTGTGTTACCTTTTAGTTAGAATTTTATGCAGCCTGTGCTCATACTGAATCTTCTTAATGTAATTTTTTATTTTTCTTTTAGGGGACAATTGAAACAAACCATCTGGTAGAATGTAGTAAGATTAGCCAAAGAGAAAGGACTGCCATTTTAAAAAGCAGCTTTGTAAGTGAACGTTGGTCAGTTTGTGTTACATTGGTGACATCGAATGGTTTCGAGAGGTTACTTAAAAGGCAAAGTTTAAAGGAAAGTTGAAGATTTTCCTAAAGTGTTCTGCTAAAGGTTACTTTGTTCAAAACTAGTATGTCCCCTTTACACCATCGTTGACTTTTTTGCACGGAAAGGAGTTTAAAGTGATGCGTTTAGGTTATTGTATACCTTCATTTTAGCAGACTGCAATAAAATGTGATTGTAATATGTTATCATGGCCTATTGTGCTTATCTGAACTTTAATTTTCAGAAATACAGGGTTTCTTTCCTCCTCAGTTGGACTCATACCCTTGATATTTTTCAGCGCTGATGTATGAGGATGGATTTTAATTTTCCACCTCCCTAGAAAAAAAATCTGAAAATGGCTTCTTTACATAAACGTCTATCATCTCAGCATCTTCCAGCTTCCTTTTACTCACGGTTTAGAATTTCTTCTCCATACAAATTTATCTCATAAGTCCATGCTAAATCCTTCAAGCTTTATATTGCATTTATTTTTTTCTCCCATGGTTGATTTTCATCTCTTCCTGTTTTGTTTTTTAAGATATTTCTGATAGGTCGTCTTTAGAATTTCCCTATTCCATCATATGGGTCATTCTCTAAAGACTGAAATGGGACTAGTTCTTCTTTGCTTTGATGCCTTGTTGAGGAAAAATCTTTTTTTATAGTTCTGAAGAGTCAGCTATACAATAGTATTTTTGTTTTGTTTTGTTTTGAGACTGAGACTCTTTGTATAGAGCAGACTGGCCCTGAGCTCACTGTGTAGCCCAGGAGTGCACTGTTAGTAGTTTTAAAAGTTTATCATTTCTATATTTCATTTTCAAGTAAGGTAATTATTGCACTGTGAATCACCTCTTGCACCAGGCAGAATTGCTTCACTTTTGATATGGATGTGATGAATAAGCACTTGTTTGAAAACAGTTTTTATTCAGAATTTCTTTTCTGATGACAAATGTACTTTAGCCAAGTGAAATATATTCAAAACTTCTTTGTCTCAGCATAATTTGAGGATATTCATCACTCAGCATTACTTATCAACATGATATAGTATAAATTTTATAAAAAGATGAGTAAGTTATTTTTGATGACTTCTTATATATAGGGATGAGATTATTTCTGGGCACAATTGACTGTCTTTTTACCATTTAGCTAACTGGACTGTGCCCTGCATTGCTATGCTATTTTTATTGTTGTTTGATTTTTTTGTTGTTGTTGTTTTTTGTTTTTTGAGACAGGGTCTCTGTGTAGTTGAGACTGACCTTGAACTCACTAGGTAGCCGGGGCTGGTCTCAAACAGTGTCCTCCTGCCTCAACCTCGGAGTGCTGGGATTACAGGCATGTGCCACCACACCCTGTTGCTGTGCTATTTTAAACACAATATTATATATATAAAATATGTCCCTAATCTTTTAATATATTTTATAATTACTTGCATGCAATAGATTATTGCTCAAATGAACTTTTTGTGGGAAATTATGAGGGATTACAGTTTTTTGGGGGGTTACCAGGGATTGAACTCGGGCCCTTGTGCTTGCAAGGCAGGCCACCGAACCACTGAGCTAAATCCCCAGCCCGAGGGATTACACTTTTGTGTGTGTGTGTGTGTGTGAAATGTGAATATATTTCCCATGGAAATTTGTCTTCCATGTAAGACCTTCTGAAACTAGGTTACATGTAAGAGTTAGTCTAATATCTGTTATTAAATCTTATTTGTAATTACACCTTTTTTCTCTTTGGAATATATTTAAGGATAAAACAGGGTCATTCCTTGCTACAAATGTGATTACCCTCTGTGTGTTTAATTGATCCTGAGCACTATCCCCAGTCTGTGCCCACTTTACCCATTTAATAAGTCAAATCATTTTTAAATAAGACCCTTTCTTCCTTTTCCCTGGTACTGGGGATTGAACTCAGGACCTTGTACTTATAAGGTAGGTGTGGCTCAATGGAGCTAAATCCCTAGCAAGACAAGAGTGAAAAACAGCATGAACCTTGACTGGATAGACTTGATTCTACAGTAAGCTTTTGTAAAAATTATTTCCTGCTTAACAGCAAGAATTATTTAACATGTAGAGCACAGATGTGTTCTTTGCATGTTTTTAAAAATAAATATTTCTGAGCTTGAATTCCATTGTGGTGGGTGGTTTTTGTTTCTCTAAGATAGTAGAGACCCTCATTAAGTTTTTTTGAGTTGGTGTTTCTGTCTGTACAACAAATATCTGATTCCTGTCATTTTATTTGCCTTTTCATTTTTCTTACCTTTTTCACCTGGCAGAGTAAAAATACATTTACCCCTGGAAAAAGTGAGTTAATTTGAAACACAAAAATTCTGTTTTAAGTGCCATTTTAAACATTTTTATCTATAGTTATCTGGAAAATGTACTTTATCCTTACTAAAATGAGCCTGTCCTTATTAAAATGGATGTGAATATTTGATTATTTTAAACTTTGTAAAAAAAAAAAAGAATGGGCTGGGGATTTAGCTCAGCACTTCAGTGGCCTGCCTTACAAGCACAAGGACCAGAGTTCAATCCCCAGCACCAATAAATAAATAAATAAACAAACAAACAAACTTTGTAAACTGGTTTAGTGAAAATTTTATTTTCAACATAAACTCTTGAAATATTATAACAGGAGAAAACAAGTTTATTCCTTTTTATACTTAGGTTTAAATGTGCTCTTAAAAAACAACAACACAAGCCGGGGGTTTAGCTCAGTGGTTCCGTGGCCTGCCTTCCAAGCGCAAGAACCCGAGTTCAATCCCCAGTACTAAAAAAAAAAAAAAGCAAAAAGCAACGACACAAGATATTGCCTAATAGAAAGACATCTGCTTGTTTTACACCTCCTCTCCACAAAAGTTCTCTTATTTTCCTTATAAGGTATTGTATTTGATGCAGAAAATCCAGGACCCCTACATCAGTTCATAACATTTGACAGGCATTTAATTGCGCACAAGTGTTGCAATGGATAAGTTAAAGGAGTCCAAGTGTTTAATTTTTCAACCAATGCTAATTGTGTAAATTTAAGATATCTGTTCTTTACATAATATAACCCATCGTTTTTTGGTTTGTTCCTTTTACTCTTAAACTGTCAAACACTATGTCAGACTGAAATAAATTGTAATCCCGTACATGTTCATTTACTAAGAAAAGATGCAAGTCCGTTGTAGTTAAGAATTTCTGACATATGCATTTTGCTCTCTGCTCTAACATATCACTAAATTGATAGTGAAATGTTTTTTATACAGTTCCTACTTCTGGAAAAATTAATCCTTTTGTGATTTTCCCCTTTCTTACACATGGTTGGAAAAACTTTTATAGTAACAAACCTACTTTAGGAACCGTGTTAAAACATTGTATCCAGTATGAATCATTTGCCTATTAATAGTACTAGAGAAGTAAAGCCCCATTTTTGTCCCTGTTGAAGAGATAGCTGGGAGAAAGATAAAAATGGGGGTGGGGGGAATGTGCCGATACTGAGACTGCCAAAAAAAGGTATTATACACACTTCAGGAAAAGAAAAACTTGTACAAATATTTTAATAGTAAATTGATTGAGACATCATGAAATTAATACAAGTTACTTATGGCCCCTACAGCTGCACGCCGTGCTTAAAGTGGTGGCTGTTAGCTTCCAGATATTTATTAGTATGACGAACTGCTCCTTAGTAACCTTGGTCACTGAGATTGCTGCACATGTATTTTCAGTTTCTTCTCTGAGGGTCGGTGGTGTAGTGTGTTTTCTGCGATATACAACATCCTCTAGAGTCCCCCATATGAGAGTAACACCATCTATTGCAAAGACATCGTACTATTTTTCTTTTCCTGAAGTGTATATATATATATTTTTTTTCAGACTCTGTATGTATTTTAAGAAGTAATGGAGTTAAATATTTTAAGTTCTTCCTGTAATTCAGAAAAGCTACTGTGCAATATTTGATTGGAAGCTCCAAAGTTAGATGTGTTGTTTTAGAACTCAGTAAAATACTTTTTTACACTTGCTCATAGATGACAGACTAAAAAACGATGAAATAGATTTCTTAAACCATATCCATAATTTTAAAGTTCTTACATTTTTTAACTTAGAGTTTTAAAAAATTTGGGGGGTTTAAAAAAATTATTTCTTGGTTCTCAGAGGCAACTTTATTTTGGTAGTTCTTATGAGGTAAACATATTTCCATAGAATTCTTATCAAGTGATTTGAACCACTAACAGACAACTATTTGACCAATTAAAAAAATTTTTTTGAAAGGATAGACTCACTGCTCAGAAATTTGGAAAATAAGGAAAAAAAATCACAGCTCAATATCCTAATAAAATTATTGAAATGTTTCTGTTTAACTTAAAAGATGTATGCATGTTTGCATATCATTAAGATAACTTATGCACTTTTGTATAATGTATGCATATTTAATCTGCTTTAATATTATACTTTTATTTGCTATCTCCAGATTCAGGTAAGTCATTTTGTCTTCTAAGGATTCTTAAGTCTTTTCTAATTTTGAGAATATTTTTCTGAAACAAGCTTCTTTTTGTTAGAATACAGAAATTAGAAATGAAGTAATAAGAAAGGTATGTGCATAGAACACTGTGAGAATGTCTAAGTAATTAGATGAAGATTTCACTCCTTTTTCTTCTTTTTGTGCTGGGAAATCAAACCCAGGGCCTTGAGGCAATGTTAGGCAAGGATCTACTGCTGAGCTGACACCCACTGAACTATTCTGCTTTTAATATATCTGTAATCATTTTATTATTTAGTGCTCATCCTCTCCTCCTCCCCAGACAGATATTTAATTATCTCTATAAAGTATGTACAACAGGGTAGGGGTGTAGCTCAGTAGTAGAATGCTTACCTAGCACACATGAGGCCCTGGGTTTGGTTCCCAGCAGGAAAAGAAAGGATGAAGGAATGAAGCGGGAGAGGGGAAAGGAAGGGAAGACAGGAAAGGAAGCGTTCACACATTGTTTTGGGCTGATCACATGAGTTATTCCTGCTCAAAGGACTCCTGCTTCTATTGACATTTAAACATTTCTGAAAAATGCTATTTCACATTGATGAGGGATTAAAAATAATTTTACAGGCTCTTCACAGTGGCACGTGACTGTAATCCCAGCTGCTCATGCTTAGGTGGCTGAGGCAAGAGGTTTGCAAGTTCAAGGCTAGCCTGAGAAACTTACTG